CAGAGAGACTGACGTAAGAAGGACAGTATGGTTAAGCAAATTCCGGGGGGACAACAAAAAATATTTAACATACCATATCTCAAAATATAATCATCATAGCAAAAAACGGTTTCCGGCATTTTACTCCTCAAGTCATGGCCTTTCCAATGACATAATCTTTTCATCAGATTTTACAAAAAAATTATAGCACGTTTTGGTGACGTCATCAATTATGACGTCATAATCTGACATTCTGTCACAAATACCAAATTAAAATAAACTGGAGAACAAAGAAAGCTCATCTGCCAAACTTGGTTCAGAAATATATAAACCAAGCAAATATAACCTTCATGAAACATTAGGGGGGTGGTTTGGCCCCTACGTGGACATCTCAAGTTGTTGTGCGTTTTCTTGCTCTTTCATCAGGCTGGGGCTCTAGTTCATGTGTATACAGACGGATCCGTTCTTTTGACGCATGGTGGAACAGAAATGGGACAAGGACTACACACCAAAATGGTGCAGGTGAGTTCATAAAAAGAATTATTTTTTGCTTGATTATTATCCGTATAAATGCAGCCGTTTTTCTTTTCAGCTTGATAGAGATAGTCTTCTTTTAGTAACTAAACAATTTGTCCCAACAAAGAATTTGTATACGACTGAAAGATCGCCAAACCAACGCTGCCTTACAGCTCAATACCTAGGATGCAACTCTTTGATGAGCTCAAAGCGTTAGCAGGTTCTCGGAGACGAGTCAGATCAAAGACTACGCCATGACGTCACAAATTATAGGTCACAAATCATGACGCCACAAATCATGACGTCACAAATCATGACGTCACAAAACGTGGCGTCATGAGTTAGCAGGATGCTAATGTTTGGGCACTAGGCTGGCTAACAAGCATTGCAAATACAGTGTAGGCAACAATGTGTGTACAAGCTATGTGGTAAGTAGTATGCGACTATTACAGTGGTAATATGGCTCAACCTCACTCTTGTAGGTGGCATCTAGGTGCTTAGGAGTTCCTGTGTCCAGGATCCTGATCAGTGAAACAAGTACGAACACAGTTCCTAATACCTCGCCTACTGCAGCTTCAGGCTCATCTGATCTGAACGGCATGGCGGTTAAAGTAAGAGCCAATAAAGTCTGCCATTAATCTGCGTCGCAATAGACTTTAGCAATGGCCGGCTAGGGTTTACAACAGGAGTCTAAAGGGCAGGGCTTACAAGAGGTAGGGCCTACAACAGGCAGCCGCATCTGTGAAATGAAGTATGTCGGCGCCCTTTGTTTGTAATCATCACCGTGTCACTCTCGGTGTCACGCCACGTCTTGCGTCTAGTGCGTGCACACTAAGATACGGACGCAGAGGGAGGGTATGGTTGGGTAATTTCAAATAAAACTTCCTGCACAGCAGAAACGGCTGAAAGAAATCGTGCAGATCGGAGCTATGGAGATAAAAAATCGAGCAATCGATTTGTACTCTCCAGGTCCTGTGTTTGACTTTTAAACAAAAATCTTGCACCATTGTCCACCAAAAAAACCATGATCAACCTAATGGTGAGAAAAAGATTTCATGCCCCCCAAAATTTCCCATTTCCCCTTCCCTTCAAAAAAAAAAAAAGAATAAAAGAATATAGTCATAATGACGTCTGACTCATTAATTTGATTATAGAGTACCATAGGCAAGCCGTATGATTTAGGGCCAAAGTTTACAATTGAAATGCAAATAAATGCATACCCGTTATGAAGGGGTCAGTACATGTACAGGAGCTTATAGAACTACACAATAAAATGAGTCGTGTGCATAATTAAGGAAAATACAATTTCAGAAGAGGTAGTTGTTAACTTGCTTATTTTCTGATTTTCTAGATTGCATGCGAGAAAATTCTGGAGCGGCTGAAGCCATATCAAATGGAGAATCCTAAAGGAAAGTGGGAGAACTGGGTATCCTCGGCCTATTTTGACCGCGTCAACCTTTCCGCAAATGGATTTTACAAGTAAGAGTGTTTTTTTTTTTTGTCTAAATGAGAGATATTGGACGTTTTTTTCATATTTTATTTGTATACGACACATTCGATGTCGTGTAGACATCGAATGTAAATGAAACTCGTCCAATACATGTTCAGATTACGCCCTATCCACACTGCGCCGGAGAAATTTGAAAACGCAGCTTTATTTCTACGGTTAGGTCTACCGTCCACACTAATCCTAAAACGGAGCTTTAGTTTCGATAAACGTTCTCAAACCGGAGGAATTTGAAAACGCCGGCTTTGAATTTTCGAGTGGACGGAAAACAAGTTGAAATCCGAGCTTTCGAAAACGATGGCGTCACGATAATCACATGATTTTCCTGACCGAGTTTTCCTCAAACACAAATGCAAAATGATCGGCGGAAACATTTAATGCGTTTTCAGAGCGAATCCTTCGTTTCCAATTTCCTTCGGCGTAGTCTGGACTTGGCCTTCGCACAACGGACTCATCGAACTAAATGAATACGTTATCACAAATCGATATTATCTACGACTTACTTGGACGCGCTTTTTTTGCTCTGCTGTCCTGCAATTTTTTTTTTTTTTGCGCATTTCTTTCTCGAATTGGCGATGTCTTTTACGTGAACACGGGGGAAACTTTATCCTCTTACTGTGGTAGTTGTCAGAGGAATTAAAATTAACAAATTGACGTCAGTTTTTTATGCGTCTGTCCTCTTATTGATGATAAATTGCGTCATAACATTGTCAAAGTGGCTGTGGAACCACGAGCCGCAGGCGAGTGGTTCCGCGGTAAACTATTTATTCAATTTGTTTTTTACAATTTGTTTTTTACAATAACAAGACCCCAAAATGGTCAAATGCCGGGAATAAATGAGGGGAAAAGACGCCGAAAACTTGCCGTAAACAAAGATAAGTGACTTTTATTCAAAATGACGCGAACATTGTCGATAGCTTTTCTCGCTTTTTGACTGGCTACTTAAAAAACGTTTATAAAATCTCATTGTTTAAAAAGTTAACAGTTTGACAGCTGAATGTTGAACTTGAAAACTTGCATAAATTAAGATTTTATCCGTCTGTAGTCTTATTGATGATAAAAATGAGCCAATCAGCGCCCGAGAAATTAGACAGTTATTGTGAAACAAGTATTCGTGTATCACTAGGAAACGAAGCGTCTGTGTTGAGAAGCAAACCAAAATGTTGGGTATTGCCTGAACCCTGAAGTGCGCTGCTCGAGGCAAAATCTTGGAAATTCTAATCAGAACGAAATGTAAGACATTCTCATATTTCTGGCGAGGATAGTTTTGAAGCTACCTTAGCCGCTATCTTCCAAGAATTTGGGGATGTTAATTTTGCAAAGCAAAATTGTACCGCAAAAAACACGCAGACCTATGACCTCAAATCATTTGGTAGAGAAAAGTCTTTGTGTATTATAAAGGAAAGTTGTTTCAAAAGAAGGAGAGCAAACGTTCCAGTTGCATTTGCATTTGTTCCTGCAGGGTTCCTGAACTCAGTTACGACTGGAAAACCCATTCAGGGCGAAAATTCAATTATTTCAGTTATGGTGCTGCCTGCTCAGAAGTGGAAATCGATTGCCTCACTGGGGATCATCAAGTAAGGTCTTGTTCCTTGTGTGTCCAAAGGCCATCCAAGCCTCACTAGTAGTCTGGAGCATTATGACATCACGTAACAGGGAAAACGTATATGAGTTTGTATGGGAATGTAATTATCGTATATCTCACGCTACTGAAAATATGGAAACGAAATGAAGAAAAACTAACACTAACTCGCTGCATTTCTTTTGTGTGTTACCTGTTGTAAGGACCAATTTCCAAGTTCCTCGGTTTCAGTAGGCAAGATTCACTCTAGGTCACTGACTTTAATTCGACTAACACTCCAGTGAGACGCTCTTAGTTGCTTAGACATAACTCCATCAATCGTCCCCGTCTTTATCCGTTCAAGTGAATCGCACGCACACACAACTACAACGTTTTGCCGACGTTCGCCATTACATGTAGACTCTAAAAAGTCACGTGACTTAAACGCCGGAATTAAACGGCGGTAGCAATACATGAACTATACAGGGAACCCAGCAAAAAAGGGTTTATGTGCTATTATGGACCGTTTCAGTGCGATTCCTGCAAATTTCAGTTCTACTGTTGACTCTCCATAGTACCCTTGAAAAATTCAAAAATGTTGAACCATAATTCCTGATAATAATAATAATAATAATATTAATAATAATAATAATATGATGATGATAATAACAATAATAATAATACAGAAAACGTTTGAAATTGACTTTGAGAAAAAGCTATAATAAATTAAAAAGCTAGTGAAAGAAACTTTTGACGTGTTTCGTCGCTCAATAAATATAGGTAGATTACTGTAAGATTCTAAACATCATATTGCCATTTTGAATTTCACTTTCTAACATTTCATATTTTACTATTACACTTTTATTTATAATTTTATCTATTTCATTGATATTTAACTAATTTTTTTTCTCTTAGTTTATCGTTATTTTTGTCATGCACTTTATACATGAGCCACTGGCTCGGATACCGAAGGCAACCTCTTCCCATGCATGACATTAAAAAATTGATTGATTTATAATCACCTTGTGCATCTTAGTAGTGCTTACTGAAACTTTAACTGGTTTAACAGGTACTTCGCACAGATATTGTGATGGATGTTGGTACCAGTCTTAACCCGGCCATCGACATTGGACAGGTCTGTGTGAAATATCCTATAGCGGAGACTTGTAGTTTGTGTTTCTGTTGCATAAATAGCATTGCAATAAATATCACCACTAAGTTAAGTCACTATCCCTTTTGTGTCATCAAAATTCGTTTTGAATGTTAGGCAACGTATTCTGACAGCATATGGGAAAGATCGAGTGGAATATTAAAAAAAAATTCAGAGAGGGCTATTTCTCTGCTAATGATTTATTGCTGCTCTTATGTTATGTGTTGGTGTTCCGCTTTTCATTCAGATCGAAGGTGCTTTCATACAAGGTCTGGGTCTGTATACTCTTGAAGAAGTACGATTCTCTCAGACTGGCTCACCATGGACGACGGGGCCTGGGGCGTACAAAATTCCCGGATTTACAGACATACCAGTGGAGTTCAATGTGCATCTTCTGCGCAGTGCTCCGAACGAAAACGCCATTTTCTCTTCTAAGGTTCAAAAGAGAAGTCGTTGTGCTTTATTTTTTTAAAACATAGTCAGACAAGTAAGAGAGCTAACTAATTGACGACTTGCGACAGGCGGACAGACAGACATACAGAGAGACAGACAAACAGACATATAGACTGTCTCATTGATTGATTGATCGATCGATTGAATGATTGGATGATTGATCAATTGAATGGTTGATTGATTTATTGATTGACTAATCGACTGACTGACTAATTGATTGAGTGACCAACTGACTGACTGCCTGACTGACTGCCTGACTGACTGATTGATGGTTCAAATGACTGCCTGCGTAACTAACTGACAGACTGAATGGATGGCTAACTGTTGGATTGACTTACCGGTCGATTTAGTGATTGATTGGGTAAAACATTTCGTGACCTTTATTGTTGTTTTGAAGTATTATTGCTAACTTTGTTGGAAGGTTTGGATCTGATCAGTAGCACGCGGACGACTGGAACTTTCTCGATTTC